AGAATAAAAGGCTCCCTGTCATTTAAGTCTATGTGAAATAGTTCACTGCTTGCAGTTGAATCTGGGGTACCTTATGTATTATGCTTTAAAAAAAAAAAAAAAGCAGCAAACTGGAATGCTCACAAGTGTGTGTATTAGTTTCTAGAGTGCTGAAGTCTGTGAATAATTTGGTTTTACAGGCAAATATTCTGTATTTAGTTTTTTTTTTTTTTCCCCCTTAAAATTTGCTGTCTTCTTGTGGAAGTGCTGTTCTATTCCATTACTTTCCCATTGTTTGCTTTGTGTATTTGGTATGCATAGTTTTGGTGGGAAGGGTATTGCCAGAGGCATTTTACTCTAATTTTGCAATGACACTGAAATGGTTTCTCCATACACATTTTGTGAGTGGAGTCCTCAAGGGAGACTGGCACAGTATGTAAGCTGCACTCAATTTAGCACTTGTATGTGTCGCCTGGCCTAGCAGTTCCTGAATTTGAAAGCAGCTGAAAAATTAAAGGGAAATGATGGCTGGGCTTCCTGGGATTTGTCTAAATTTGAAAATCCAAGCTTCTCTGTAATATTTGCTTAATTTTATGGATTTCCTATGGAAGATTTTATCTTTAAGACTTTTGCTTGCCGAACACTTTTCTCTAATGAGTTTTCTTCCTCTTGGCATAGCTCTGCTTAAATATTCATACAACTTTGTGCACCTCTTCTTTCTGTCTTGGAAAAGATGAGGAATAAGACCTAGAAATCCCCTTGTTAAGGGGATTAAATCCCCCATATTAAGATGGTCTCTTCTATAATCTCAACTATGCTTTCCAAAATGAATTTGTGTTGAAAATCAACCAATTACCATACTACAGATCTCACCACAAAATCATGGCAATATCAGTAAAAAGTGCACTGTTGACATTAAGATGCAGATCTTGCTACCATTATCTCATTCTTTATCTCCATGGGTTATCAATATCTACAGGTTAAACTACTATATCTCTTGAAGATAGGTTTGATGCAGATGACACTTGAAAACTTAAGCTACTGTATTCGCATGGGCTCTGAGAAGAGCATGCTGTGGGAAGCATACGAGGAGCATGAGGAAACATTGCACTCTGCAGTAGCATGTAACTCAAAGATTATTCATGCAAAAAATTGGCCAAGTACCCAGTAACGCTAGAAGTGGCATGCAGTAGCTGGTACACTTGTGTGTCCCACTGACGAGTCTCCAGGGAGCTGGGAACAGCATATTTCCCACAGGCTTCACCTATGGAGTTTTTGCCCTGTGGAGAGTGTGGCTATTTTCCATGCCCTTCCTGTTTAGTTTTTCTTTGATAGTTGTTTCTTTGGGCAAGTACAAGTCTAACTTGCCTCATCTACAGCTCTTTCTTGTGTCCCATTGTATTCACACTCACCAAGAAACAAGTGGGTGGACCTAGCCTATGGGTTAACGCAAGGCATATGGCTCACCTTTATTATTCTAAGGCATGTATCATCCCCAATTCAGATACTAAGCTACATAAATGAATGCAATAAATAGCATGGAAGTTTGGCTTGGGCTCAGACAAGGTCATTGGAATGGGCTACCAAGACTATCTTCCCCCACATCAGCAGCAGGTCTCTTTTTTTAAACTCGTATTTACATATATCCTATCTACATAGATATACCTGTTCATACAGCTAATTGGCTTTCTAAATCCAGAGTATCTCATCCTTCCTACAAGTACAGTAAAGAGATTTCTCCTGGTAGAAACTTTGGTTTTTGCAGTTCTGGCTTTTGGTGCCCCAGGAGGCAAGAAGAGAGTTTGAGAGCAGAACTGCAGGACATGTGTACAGCAGGCCCAGATAAAATCAGACAGATGACACTAACTGCACTCCCACAACAGATTACCACGTCTCACTCCAGAGGAGTGAAGCAGACAATCCTGGAACTGGCAAGGATAGGAATTCAGCAGCCACTCATATTTTGGAAGCAAAAGGTCAGGAGTTCTTTGTCTTTTTTTTTCTCCTTGTTCTCAGTTGGATAAAATAAAATATACAAGACTGTCCTCAAAAGTTTAGTGACAGAAAAATAGGGAAAACTTCATAGAACAGGACTCTTCATCCTCAGGAAAAGTATGATACACTTCCCATGTGGATATCTAGCACTCCTCTTACAGCACCTGGCTCTGCTAAAGGGCTCATGAGACAAACTGCTGCTCTAAGTACTGAGCAACTAGTCTTTAACTGCTCTTATTTTTAGATATATGAATATTTTAAAATATTCATATGCCTCTGCAGATGGTCATCCTGCTGTCTCTTCATGTGAAAGGAAGAAACAGGGGGTAGGCCTGGCTGGGGCTGATTGGAATCCCCCAAAGACTGTTTTGCTTTGTGGCTTCATCAAGGGCAGCGTGGCTGTGTCTACACTTAACAGAAGGCTTCAGTGAAGCCTTCAGGATCAAATTTGCCATGCCACCTAACTGCAGGAGTACTTTCAGGTGGACAAGCTGTCATACCTGGGATAAAAGCTCAGGTGCACTCCTTTTTGTCATAGTTTTAATGTAAAGATTGTAGACATGGCTTGAAGCCCTATTTGACACGACTAACAGTTGTACGTTAGCATATCAAGGCTCCAGAGAAGTATTACAAAACAGGAATAAAACTAGAGCACAAAGGTGTAAATATAAATGTCCTTGTTGGTTTATTGTTCTTTGTATGTAAGAAGCTTTACTGTACAACTTACACAACTTTAAAATGGAAAATGGTTAAAAATGTTTACAAAAAAGCATGTTCTTAGAAAATTATGCTAGCAAAAACACTGGGAGAAGGGAAGCAAAAAAAAATCCTCAGTTCAGTGTGCAAACATTTTATAAAAATAGAAATACTAACTCTACAGGTAGCATTTCATGATAAATTATTTAAATAGCGTATCTACACATTTATGTGATTAACTATTACAATGGCAATGAGAAAAATAATTTATAAAAATACAAGCAATGGTATACAAGATGACAGGAAAAAATATGACACAACATTAGAAATTGTATTTGACTTTTTTTTTCCAATGCCATTTCCATACTGGGAATACATTTTCTGCAAAGAAATTTTGACTATGTACAGCATTATCTTTTTAGTACTACAGTAGCTTTAAAGTTTGTTAGACATTTGAACTCTGCTTAATCCAAAGATTTTTCTCAATCACACAACAATGAGGTAATATTTGTACGTAAAACTTTCACTGTGTTAATTTCTTTTCCTTTTTTTATAAGACAAGGAAATATTATAGGCATAAGGATGTTTCCCCCTTCTGTTGGGGAAAACAGTCTGCTGTTCATGTACATCAAGCCCTATCCCTCTTTTGCAAGGAGCTCCTGAAATTCTGTCTAGTCTACGAAGAATTCGTTTTCTAGCTGCACATTGCTAGTTACAGTAATTAGCGTGCAGCGGCACAAATAGCCCGTTTGAATGGTTCCCAGTTGCGGTCATTGTGCCTCTCTGCAATCTCCTCAGGGCAGGTGTTCTGGTTTTATGCCAGGCCCACTGACCAGTGGTAAAGCACTGCAGACATTTCCCAGCACTAAATAACCACTGAGATGGTAAATGGCATTCCCTCATCTCTAACCCTCTGTCTGGGAAACAGGAACTGCTACCATCTGCAGGGACTTGAGTTTTAGCACAAGAGTTGCCTGCCAGGCTACCAACCGCCTTGTGCAAAGAAAGGAAAACCCAACGCTGAGCTCAGACTGAGAAAAACAAACATCCCGTTCCCCACCCCAACGCTTTTCCCTGCACCTCAAAACCTTTATGGGAAAATTGCTCTTTGTAACAAATACATCACCACTATCTGCTCCAGACAAGATTTTTTTCCTCAACTAACCCCCTCTAGTTTCAATATAGAACAGAGTTAATAAATAATCTGTATTTACAATCTTACAGTCCTGAAGACTTGTAACAATGATTAGGTGGATAGTCTTGACGCATTTCTTGTTGTTTTAATCAATAATCCCTCAGTCATTATAACATCAAGGATAGGTAAAAATAAATATTTTACAATTTCAGTATTTTATCTACAGGCCCCTTCCCCTCAGCTCCAAAGAAGCAAAGGGTTTAAAGAGTCTATAGCATGTAGAAAAGGAATGTTTTCATTACTATTTTTTTTGTGCCTTTTTAACCATAAAAAGTGAAGCACATGCTGGTTTCCTGAAGGACAGCACAGTGCTAGCTGAGATGGCGGTGCTTTCTGGCACCATATCTGAAAGCAAACATTTAAAGGTAAGAAAGATCTGCATCTATCAAATCAGGAAAAAACAGAATCTAGTTGTAAATCCCAGTTCTCCCAAAGCTGGTGTAATCCAGTGTGCCAGTTTTTATTCTTTCCCCCTCTCACCATGGAAATCAGTTTTAGAATATCTGTTTTGCCCTGTGTAATAGAGCAGCTGATCTAGCTCACCACAAACAGAGTAAAAGGCTGTGTTTTCATCTGAAAGGTATGACATATAAAACAATAATAATTTCTCCAAGTTAAATGGATGTAAACCAAAGTAGCGCAGCCCTCGTTAAAAAAAAATTCCTCTCCCCCATAAAGAAAAAAGACTTAAAGTTCACCCTCCCACCCAAAACCCCTTTTCCCCACACAATGAAAGGTCTTCAGTTTAAGTAGTCCACAGCACATCCAACGATGTTCTTACAAAATGCTACTCCATGGGACCTCCAGTTAGAGAGGCAGTGACACTGCACTGTGATAAACAGCAAACAAATGTCTTTCCTACTGAAAGAAGTGTGCTTGTTCAGTAAAGATAATTCTCATTTGCAAGACACATTTGTTTCCTTCCACTTCAGCAGAGGTCAGATACCAAGTATGTTCTCACTTTCATTCTCTCAAAAGCATTCTCTTGAGGCAGGTCATGTGTTCTGAGTCCACATTTATGCAGAAAGAAGAAAGGAAGGAATAATATAATGGTCCCAGGATTTGTAAGGCTAAACGTTTCAGAAGGTGCAATACCAGCATTTTAAAATAGTCTCTGGATCCAATAACCTTGTGATTATGGATCTGTGGAAAAGAAAGAAATTAAGATATTTAAATATTTCTGTGTATTATGCATGGGTATGTCTAAGACATTAAGCTCTACAGACATTTGTAAAGAATATATTGGTAAAGAACACTTAAAGAGCTTAGCTACTTCCTTGAGTTAGACTTCAGAATCTAGTCTATGTAAACATTTCATAATGAAATAACAATTTAAGGAGACTAGAGCACCTGAAACTAGTCATATGCACTTATCTGCACTGTACTGTGAGAGTGCAGTGTATGGTCAACCTTCTACTTCGCTTGCTTTTAAGCAAATCAGTTTTTTATATGTCAGACACTACTCTTTTGCCTGCCAAAATCATTATTTTGCATTTGCACCTTGGACTTTATGGTGTTGATTCATTCTAGTCAGCACTTTAAAGGAGATTCAAGATATATTTAATATCTGGAACTTAACATGGATTTCTGATACTTGGAAATAACATGATAGATATATACTTAGATTTTATACATTTAAATTTTTAACTGTGAAGAGTTTATCAAGAGGGTGTTCTGTTTCTGCCTGTAAAACTCGCTTGAGATCGAGCCATGAAACATCATGGGTGAACTTCCCCTCTTAGCTCTTATTTCTTGATCCATTCTATTTTTCTGGAGAGCGGCTTTCTTGAACCAATTCATTTATATAGGAGAAAGAGCTCCTAAATATAATGTCTTCCTTACCTCTGCATTCATATTTAAGGTCTGAGAAGAACACCATTTCTTGGGAGAAGACAAATAATCCTAGCCGGCCACCAGCATAGGTTTTATCGTAGATTGGTCCTGAGTCTGCCATAATTTTCTTCCCTTCATACATTACAACCCTAGAAAGAGACAGTACATTAGCCATCTTTGACAAGCTTCTGTTAGGTTCTTGTTTACAGACAGCCACTTTCCTTGCGATAATCACTTAAGATAAAAGGATGATCCTCACCTGATGTAACCAGTCTTTGGTCTATGGCTAAGACGCCATCTGTATGCAGTGAAGTCTTTCCAGCCTATGTGACGAGGGTCGTGCCACAGAGTTCTCACCTACAAAAGAATATTCTTTTATTAACCAAGGGTCTGACATAACATAGTCATTATTTTGACATGAAGATGCCTTGACGATCATCATTATGACTAGTAAAGGCTTAAAGTAAGTCATCAGGCTCTGTAATGGGGTCTTTTGAAATCAGCTGCATTTAAATTTACTTTGAAGTATGTAAATAGGAAACTACTCCACAATTCCAGAAACAATTGATTCACTGCTGCCAGACAGGTTTTCTGCAGTATGCAACCCTGTTAGTTTTAAACAATATTTTTCATGATTGGGGAAAATTACAGAGTTATTGGTCTTTGCCAAGAAGACTGTGCCGTTCTGATCAGCACGTGCAGACCCACTGTAAGTGTCTAACTTGTTGGAAGAACAGCCTGCCTTACAGGCAGCTAGGAATAATGGAATATTACAGTGCAGAAGAGTGGGTTATCAAAGTGCCGCTCTTACCTGGCCAGGAGTGTTTCCTGTGTGCCACAGAGCATTACGAAGGTGTTCTCCTGGACCAGTGGTGGAATTCACAACTTTGATGGACAGACCTGAGTAGCCTTGAGCTTTGGTTGGTGTGGAGTCCCAGTAAGATTGGGTGATCTGCTTCCACATGACAACATAGAAACGACTGCTGGATTGGTAGCCAAATACAAAACCAGCATAATCATCATCCCTTTCTGTATTGATGAAGAAGGTGCCACTGAAGTCCACAGCATTGAATTCATCAAAACCTATGGGGCATTAAAGGAGAAAGTTTTAGGTGCTGCTGTTTTGAGATTCTTAATGCCATAATAGTTTCTCAGGTTCTCCTCTCCCCGCTGCCTCCTGCCCAACCAAAAAACAACCAGTGTAATGCCTGTTAAAGCTTCCCCTTACCGACTGCAAGGCCAGGGTCACAGTTGACTGTCTGAACCAGTTCTTTACCCTGGTGACGAACAACCCAGTTGGGATCATTTTGGGATGTTCCTTTGGGATCCAGGGGAATCATCTGAAATCTTCGGAAATCAGTCTCACTAATGTCCACATTTTCAGGGCAGATATCATCAATGTCTGGCACACTGTCTTGGTCAAAGTCATCTTTGCAAGCATCTCCACGTCCATCACCTGCAGGACACAAGTAATTTCACCATTATATCACCACTTGTCTTACAACTTGGGAGTTGAAATCTTAATTGCAGATCTCTGACTGCCCAGGTACTGCTGGCAGACACTACAGAAGCCACAATAGCTACTACATAAATGCCCTTTCACTGTGGCCATTTTTACATCTCTCCTTACTCCTGAGGAGCACTGTAGCAATAGTACAGACATTCTATCTTTTTGTTACTAGGAAGTTTTGTTCCACCTTAAATAGTGTGGGGCGAAAAAAGGCATCAAGCTATCAGAAGACACTCTTAAGATGTTACTGTGATACTGGCCATCTTACCATCAGAATCAGCTTGATCTGGGTTGGCAACCAATCTGCAGTTATCTTTGTCATCAGGTATACCATCGTTGTCATCATCATGGTCACAAGCGTCACCTTTTCCATCCTTGTCATGGTCAGCTTGATTGGCATTGGGCACATAGGGGCAGTTATCAAGGTTATTTTGATGGCCATCTTCATCTATGTCCTGGTTGTTGTCACACTGATCACCTATGCGGTCAGAATCAGTGTCTTCCTAAGAAAGGGAAAAAAAACAAAACAACCCATTTTAAAAGGCCATTTAAAGGCCAAAATAAGAGTCTTAATAGCTGGAATTAATTGAGATTTCTGCTTGCTTTAGCAAGAGCTAAGGTAGATGTAGTGAGGTATTAGGATGAATACATGCTTACTTAAAGCTGCCTGTGCTAACTGCTTTTGGGCTGCTTTAGTGTTGCCCTGGTTTTTATTTGAATCAACAGGAGCAGAACACAGTGTGATCATCAGCTTCTCTTTTTCTCCCTTCTGCTATGTGACTTCTGTCACCAGTCTACCATGCTGGACACAGGGTACTTTACCTTCCACCTTCTCTGGTAACCACCTGGTTCCAAGGGCCCGATAAAGGTAACACTAATCTGTACCTAGCCAGTAGAAACTGTAACATTAAAACAGTCTACCAAGTCTCGGTTTTACAGCTTCCACACTCTATCATGATTTTCTTCACCATAAAAGCCTATAATGGTCTTCATGCCCCCTGACTCATTATCAAGACAATTGTTCTTTTAGTGGTCAAAGACTGTATGAACTGCTGTGCTTGGTGATCACATATTTTAGCCAGTCATTTGCCTAGTCAGCTTCTGAAATAAGAAAAACAATCCAGTCATCCCTGAGGCTGCCTCAAGATTTAGTCTAGTAGTCTTGTCAACACTGGTGGATGACCCTGGTGTTAGTGTAGGCAGAAAGCATACCACACAGTTTGAATAGCTGCTCATTCTGCCATTTGAAGTCTAATATCTCTGCTTCTAGAACTTAATCAGAAAAGTGTTTGGAAAAAACCTTTAGAGACTTATATTAAGATTTCAAAGTGTTAAGAGAAACGTTGCCTCTAAGTCATAGAGAAGGAAGTAGAAAGGATCTTCAGGCACTTTCCACCTTAAGGTGGGGAAGTAGTACAGCAAGTAAGAAATTTTATATTATCTGTTTAAATTCTTCAAGTAACACTGCTCTTAGGCTACATGATCATACTACACTAGCTTCCACTCATTTGCCACAGCTTTTCTAAGCCTTCAAAACATTCCAGTTATGTCCCTGAAGCTATTAAACTTACAGCCTTGTACTTGACAGGATGGCACAGGCTTTACTTCTGCCTTCAAACATTTTTAAACCAGGAAGTTGTGAGAGAGGCTGGATTCCTCCCAGATTTTATGAAGGGGAATTTTAAAAGTGTCAGTATACACAGAGAAAGGCAACATGTGCTGCCTTCAACTTACTGGTAGAAAAGTTATTTTTTGAAATGCAGCTCTTTCAGACTTAAGGACAAAGATTAGAGAGCAACTTTGTGTTTCAGTGAACACAGCACTACAGGCTACAAAGAAGGTAGTTCCTACCTGCCTAGATTTCATACAATCCTAGGAGTTTTCATATCCTTACTATGAGACTCACTGCAACTGACAAACCTAAGAAGTGTTTAGAAGAAAGTACACACAGTAGTCTCAAAGATCTTCACTAGAGCTACTTTTCAGAAAATACCTAGCAGTTTGAACTGTGAGGGCATATTTGATACAGGCATCATTTGGCAAATTAGTAAGAATGATTTGTGACAAGTCAAATTAAAGCTGTAGCTTATTAAAATATTTTCTACAATATACAACATACTATATTTTTATAAAAACAGTCTTCTATTTATATAATGCAAATCTCCTACCTGGTCAGGGTTATGTTCCAGTGGACAGTTATCACACTGATCTCCAACACCATCCAAGTCTGTATCCCTCTGGTCTACATTGTAGACATATTGGCAGTTGTCCACTTCATTAAGGACTCCTGCAAAATTAAGGAGAGTTCATGAATGAAAGTCAAACATTTAAATCTGGAAAAGAACTCTAAAAAGCCACCACATGCTTCTTAGTAAGTTTCTTAAAGCATTTTCAGCAGCATTTGAAAGCTTTGAAACATGACTCATCATTAGCTCTGCCACATGCTTCTGTTCCTACTGCCTATAAGAGCAGAGCTAGAATTTAACTGTCTTTCAAAGTGCATTTCCATTAGCTATAACTGTTACTTCAGCAGTCTATGTCCTGAAAACACCAGAGGAGAACTATTATGTGTTCAGGGATGAAATTCCGGTAAGAAGTCAGTGGTACATTGGGTACCTTTGATCAATCCAGGATTAGAAAACAATCTAAAGAAGTGATTAGAGGCCACCTACCATCTCCATCAATATCCACTGCACATGCATCTCCTTCACCATTGTTGTCAGTGTCTGTTTGATCAGGGTTGTGATTATAGGGGCAGTTATCACAGCGGTCACCAACATCATCCCTGTCATAGTCGTACTGCTGTGGGTTGTAGATGAATGGACAGTTGTCCTGCAAGAGTGAGAAAGAAGTCCAGCTTTAAAAAGAGTCAAATTAAAGCTTCAACCAGGTTCTGCTTATGCTTGTACCACTATATAAAGGAAGAAATGAAAGGCAGGGAAGCAGTCAAAACTGGAATGCTTCTGTCTCAAACATCCCACTGCCTACATGAGTGTAGAATGGCTGAATAAAAATGAAAACAGTTTCTGTTATCTGACAGGACAGCTGTCAGTGCCAGTGATTTCCTATGATCCTCTCTTAAGATTTAGGTCAGAAGCTAGACCCCAGCCTTAGAAAGGAGAATGGGAGAGCTACATTCTCAAAGGCTGTTCTTTTGTATTGTCTTACCCGGTCACATCATCATCATCATCATTGTCACAGGCATCACCAATCCCATCTTTATCATAGTCTTCCTGCCCAGAGTTGGGCAGATTAGGGCAATTATCCTAGAAAGGACAAAGTACACAGGTATGTTTACTCCTGGCATGATTACAATAGGGATTTTAGCAGGTAAGATCTAATCATTAGGCAAAATCATAATACCTCAATCAGGTAGGTGTTATCTTACTGTAGTTCTCTCAATTCTAGCTAGTCATTACTGTGAGGATAAGTCTTAGAAAGCCATAATTAAAATAATTTTTAAAAGAAAGATCTGGCTACTTTTGAGAATCTTACCCTCTTTTTCTTCCCCTGGAGAGAGATATCTGTCAGAGTAAAGCTGATATAGGTATAGCCTAAACTAGATTCTTCCTAGAACATTTATAACAAATAGTTATTATTGTGTCAAGCTTCAGTTTTTCCCATATTGCATGAATATCTAAAGCAATAGCCTCCTTGACAATGGTATCCCTACACAGAGGGGTATTTTACCAGTTTCATTTGCAGAGAGAATAGTTTAATAGCTGTAATTAGATGGAGAGTTGCTTTATACCTCAAACCTAATCTATTTGATGTATTTCTCAGATAGACAGGCTGTTATAACAGCAGATGGGAAAACAGGATAAACTTACTTTTTTACAGTGGTAAGTGGCATTGGCAACACAAACGAGGTTCTCATTTGGCCATCCATCCAAGTCAGTATCTTCTCCACAGATTATGCCATTGCCAGCATAGCCTGGTTTACATTCACAGCGATACATGGGGTCACTGAAGTGGCCAAGGTAATTGCATTTGGCATTCTTGTTACAGTCATGTGTTCCATCTGTGCATGGATTACGTGGCTTGCAGACCTAGAAGACCACACAGAAATGAAATCTACTGGAAACATCTTTTTATCCCTCATTTTTCTCTAGAGATTTAAATAAGACATGGAGAATACATACTTGGTTTGATCAGAGATCCTTTAATAAGAAAAAAAAAGTCTCATACATTACTTTCTTCTACTCCCCAACTCCAGTAGCAGTCTTAGCACTAATTATTATTTTTCTTGTTCAAACCTTATTTATTTTCAAATGGAACCAAGCACTAAAATATCTCTAAGGCACATACTGTTCTATCATAAGTGAATACTGATTAAATTACTCTTTTAAAGTTATGTATAACATCTGAACTCTCCATGGCTGAGGAGGACAATGATCTTTAAAACTCATTTTGAACTCCAGTAGAAACTGCTTAATGCTCCTCCTGTTCTGAATCACAGAAGATGGCGGGGTTTTTTTTTTTTATTAACTGTACCAAGTCCTTCTTCCCTGAAATGCATAGGTTCTTTCTGTTTAGAAACTTTGAGATTTCATAACCCAGAACAGTTATCAAATTGCCAATACCTGTTTGTTAGCCATGGCATCCTCAACACTGCGTCCAAATGGCTGTGTCCCAGTGAAACGTGGTGGACAAGGCAGGCAGTTGTACCCAGGTTCAGTATTCTCACACCTGTGGACTCCATTGAAGACAAAGCAGGCATCAGGAACCTCTTTGCACTGAAATATAAGGGTTTGAGATAGAGGAGAACAACAGTTAGCATTATAAGCCACTGGGATTTTATTCTCCCTTCCTATTTTCTTTCACTTCCTTTCAAGGAGGAAACTCTAGACTTCTTACCTCATCAATATCTTGGCAGTGGACACCATCACCATGGTAGCCAGCAGGACAGGCACCACACTTCCAGGAACCATCAGGGGAGCTGGTACATGTTGTCCCTGCAAAGCAGGGATTGGACAGACACCCATCTAAGAAACAAATGAGAAAGTGTTAAGATGAGGGATGCTTACCATGCTGCCACTGTATTTGGCCAATATGCCAGTTTAAAATTTTAGCACTTGTGTTTCACAGACTTATGTCAAAATTTTTAATCAGTATTTCCAAGATTGTCCACAACCTCCAGATGTTTATGGGAAAATGGATACTCACCAATTGGACAGTCCTGTTTGTTGCAGACCTGAGTCCCTCTAGCTTCACCTACGCAAGTCTTCCCACCATACTGAGGCTCAGGGTTATTGCAGAGACGGCTACGTTTTTGAAGTCCTCCTCCACATGTCACTGTGCAAGTATCCCATGGAGACCATGGCCCCCAGTTGCCATTAACTAAAGGGAGACAGAAGTGAGAAGACATGTATAGCTTTAAATTCAAACTAAGGACTATGACTTTCATAGTAACATTTCAGACATAAATGACAGGATTAAGGGACTCCATGGAAGAACCATATAAAACAGTTCAGTTTCATCTTAAAACTAACCTCTGAGGTTTTACCTAGCCCACCTCTAAGTTTAAAGATTACTAGAAACAGTAAACTTCGAGTAGTTGCTATATAATCCATTTAAGCTGCCAAACAGGAGTTACCACCTGGACACACTTACTTGGGCAAGGATCTTTCTGGCAGGATTTGTTTTCTCTTGCCTCACCCTCACAAGGTTTGCCATTCAGCTGTGGTACTGGAGAGTTGCAGAGACGAATTCTAGTGATAATGCCCGTGCCACACGTGACAGAACAGGATGACCAAGGTGACCAGTGACTCCAGCCACCATCCTGTTTAACTGGAAAAGAGAGACATCTGTTGTTAACAGAGTTCCTATGAATAGCACCTAGGGCATAGCCGGTACCAGAGCTGTACCAAAAACTCCATATATATTGGATAGCCTCAGCATTGTCACAGATCAAGTCATTTTGTCACTAGTGAATTGCATACCTAAATTGGCCTCAAATTTTGTCCTGGGAGCAGTGCCCAAACACGCCTGTTTACTGCATTAACTATCTGCTCCCCTGTACCTGATGAATACAAGTCCTTAAAGCCAGAAGCCAGTGCTTCATCCCAGTGGAAGAGCTACATGGTTATCTTTTTGCTGCTAACGTTAAGCCAATAAAAGCAGCCTGTGTTTCATTACCAGTGTGAGTAGATTAAGTACTTACATCTCTTATCGCACTCCTGAAGGTGGCAAGTCCGAGTCTGTACAGAAGACCCTTCACAGCGGTTATTGAGACTGTCACAGGATCGCCCTCTCTGCTGAATCCCATTCCCACAGGTCACAGAACATGAAGTCCATTCAGACCAAGGAGACCATCCATCATCTGCATAGTCGCTAGCTGCAGAGGGATACAGCTCTGAATAAGACTCCAGGTATGTGTTTTTCCATAGACTTTTCTCCCACACCTCTCCGCAAAAAAGGACACAACTGTCCTTAAAAGCCACATGCACCTTCCTTTCTTGTACAAGGTAAAAGCCATGAAGTCACATGTTCAGTGCTCACATACATCACTTAAGTGATTAACCTCAAAAGGCATTGAGGCTAACCTTGGACCCCAGTGGTCCAAGGTTATATCCAGTTGTGGTATACTTTAGAGCAGCATGCATCTAGCTAGATGAAGCCAACTGCTATAGAAGTGTGAAGGTATTAAGAACTTACGCCAGCATCGGGGGCAGCACTCTCCATCAGGCACAGTGGCATTGGAACAAGGCATGAGAGGACACGACACTTTCCGGCATATAGTGGCAGAGTTCTATAAAGAATTGAGAGAACTGCAATAAGCAAGTGGAATATGAACAATGTCTGGAGTCTGGTTTAAATGATAAAGAGGTCTTTTCTGCAGCACTTAAAAGACTCAATAGCACATCTAAAGCAGAGACTCTTGTATCTAGAGCTAATACAACCCAAGGACAGTCCCAGTATCTTTTAGTGAAACTTCATCTCATTCACATTCTCACCCATTATTTTTCAGGTCAAGAGTGGAAGTATTTTGGTTTTGCAGAAGCTGATCAAGAGTAGCTACCAAATGCTGGCTAGAGTAAGAGACTCTCACGTTACCCAAAGTATAAGTTCAGACTTCAAGAGAATGAAACAAGAATGAGAAGCCAACTTTCTTTTCAGTTAATATAGATTTAAGCTGATTATATGGTAAAGATAAAATGAGTTTAGTGGACTCTGCTCAAGAGCCATGAAATCTATAACTTATACTTAGAGGTCTTTGATCTTTAAGGAAAGCAGGCAGGGTAAGAACACACACCTCCAATCTCAGTGAGAGCTAAAGGGCAGCCTGTAGTTTTGCTTCTTGAAGGTAGCAGCTTGGTCAGAAGAATGCTCTCATGATTACTATTTTTATCTCCCCAAGCAAATTACTACATTAAGGCAATTACAGCTAACACTGAAGAAGAGGGTTTGTAGGAAAGAGACAAATGCAGAAGCCACAGTATCATTTGCTGACTACAAGACAAAAGATGTAGAGACCTATAGAAGCAGATGCAGAACTTGGTGGGATGCCTGGGATTGCACATGTACCAATGTTTCTAAACAGAGACAGGCCAGTTAACCCACTCTTTGGTAGACTGGTACTCCAAGATGCTTTTGCTAAGGCATACCTACAGTTAAAGGGAGCAAGCAATGAGTTTAAAGAAACTCTGAAACTGTTTATTTTGGTGTACTTTTACAACATTCCACAAAGCATAAATATCTTGCTAGGTGGTCCTGGGATTTAAACTGCTAAACTGAAATCTGGAAGGGATAGCTGTTCCATATAATCCGTAACAGCTAATAGGACACAGCTAGAAGCACTTGTTAGATAAACAGTGAAAATTTGTTAAAGCCTTTACCAAGTAGCAGAATGTCTTTCACTACTAAGCCAGCAGGAGGTTCACTGAGGACCGAAGGTGGATCTAAGGTATTCCAGGGTGCAGAGCTGATAGTACTATAAATTTGTTCTATTGATGCTGACTTTTAGTTTACTGCTGGACTTAGGTAAAGAATACAGGCATTGCCCAAATTAAGGGACTAAAAGTCTGTTAACAGCTGTATCAGAGTGATGTTTTGTATAATTTTCTGAAATATTGCTGTTGTAACACTGTATGAATGCTGCATTTATACTAGAGATCTAGTAGGATGAAATAAACTGAATAATTATCTTGCTACTGTAGTATGCCCGCTTCTGTGTAGCATTCACTCCTTCTAACAAATAATGTAATTTAGAAATACCTGTTAATTTCAACTCATGAATTTACGTACAGAGAATTTATGAATGTGAGGAATCATTACCTGGCAGGTGCATTCAGTGCAGCTGTCAATAGTCCACTCTTCTTTATTTTTGTGCAAGATTCCATTATGGATGCATACTCCAGGGGTGATCTGCACCACTTTGGCAATTAGTTCATTTTCTTCAGTCTTCAGCGGGGGCAGAGGGCAGGGAAGAGAAGGTATTTAGAAGTTAATATAGAAAACACCCTTTTCCACAAACGTCATAAAGTTATTACTGGTTGCCCAGGCTCTCTTCATTCACTAAGCACCAGTTAATAAAAGGTACCATGAATTTAACCAATACTCACCACTTTGCGAACTCTGTCTTGAAGTGTTGTAACCATGGACCGGAGCCCTTGCAGTTCCACAAACATATTTGTTAGTTCATCACAAGAAAAACCACAGACTGCTTGGATGTCCTTTGTTTTATGGCCAATGTAATTAGTGCGGATAGCTGGGCTGGAACCATTGATGGGGTTGTCCAAAGTAATGATTGCGCTGGTGGCTAAGAGACAAAAACCACACATAATGTAAATGCATTTTTTACCATGTGCATTTATCATTTCAGGCTAACACCTGCTAAACAGCTGCCACCAGATTCATTAGGGTGCCTGCAGAAATATAATCTTTCTTATGCAACATGGATTTGCATGTCAGCATACTTCTGAGTTCTGTTTCAACTTGTCTTTCTAATGTAATGAGGAATCTTATTTTTAATAGGTCATTGGATTCAGAAGATTGCAAACTTACAGCTGGAGCAGCCTTTGTTCCTCAGGATAGTTTCCAGAGTTGTTCCAAACACAAACCGCACATTCTGCAGCAGTCCCTGTGGACAGAGGAAGAATTACAGCTACTTGCAGCTACTGCAAGGTAAAGCACGAACTTGCACAGAGAGATCTTGTAGGCACTTAACGTCACATAAGATCATTAAGAGTAATTTCATGACAGACAGACGGCAAAGTGAAATATGTTACTTTTATTCTCCTTAATGACAATAAGCTCTGCTTTCTAACACCCTCATCCTTGACCGCAAGGACCTGGCAACAGCCTCCAGGCAGGAAGGAAAAAACCCATGAATTTCTGAATCTTTTATAAGAAGCTGAGCGATGAAGCTACAACTACCTGTTTGGAAGCTTCGGTGCCTTCTTATTGCTGCAGAAAGTTCTATCACTGGAAATCTAATGCTTCACCCTTCAAATTCCATTAGGAATTCAGTAGATTTCAAGGTGGTCCATATCAGATATACACAAACTAGTCAGTGGTGGAACCCTTTCTCCCTGTTACCCATGTCTTTGTACCTATTTAGGCTGGTTGAGTAGCTGATGCACTTTCAAGGCAGATGACTGAAAATACTGCGCAAAAATGTAAGTGAAAGTCTTACCTGGAAGTTGTCATTGACTCCCCCTTTGGCAATACGGAGCCTGGCACTGCTGGCCAGGTCCCTAGTGAAGATGTTCTGGATAGGGATGTCCAGTTCAGCATTCTCCATTTTCTCACACCCTACATAGAGCTGAGCCCGGTCCTCCTGCACAAACAGGGTGATATTCTTCCAATGTCCTGTAGCTAGCAAGGCATCCTCTACTGACACCAATTGCTGCTTGCCATCACCAGAAAGGCTCAGGTCCAGGGTGCCTGCCTTGCCATTTGATACTAGACTGAAGACATGACCAGAGCCGTCTTTCTGTTCCACAGACAGCAGTGTGCCTCTACTCTTCTTGGCTTGCCGGAGAGTGGCCAGGAGGATGAAACCCTTCTCAGCATGGATGGCATCTAATAAGTCTTGGAACTTGGAGTCGGGGACAGCAGGGATGCGACTGGCATCTTCAATGCGATAAGCAGGGCTGGAGGATTCTGGTCCCTTCACCAGGTGCACCCCGGGCGCCCGACGCCCAGCTCCCTTCCGAATGAAGCCGATGAGCTCAAAGAGATCGAAGACGCTGTTATCGTCACTCCTAGACTCTGCAGAGAGATCAGAACAAGCACCATGAGCAAGGGACAAGAGGAGGCTGAGTAGCTACATATCTCCCAGGGCTGCACTGGCTCCTGGTGCACACAGTGCAAGGTACAGCGCCGCAGGTTAGTGTGCAGGCAGTTGCTCCGATGGGATGGCAGTCCCACCAGGAGCTGCTGTGCGCCGGTACATGTGCATTCTTGTCCAGGAGCCAGTCGGCACAGGAGTGCCAGGTACCTGCTGACTGACACACAAAGGTAGCAGCCGTTCTGGCACCTCCTTAGGCTCTAGCAGAAGAGAAATAGACAGCAGAAGCCCAGACTGCGATATTCCTCTGCAAGGAGACAGCAGAGTGAGCTTGCTTAGTCCAGCGGGGTGACAGCAAGCACAGCAGCAGCTTCTCTACAGCACCTTGACAGCAGCCTACTGCCCTGCTCCTTCCTCAGGCACTTCCTACATCATGTTCTCCCTTCCCTCTGCCCAACGCAGAGGTAGACAACCCATGTGCTGGAGACTCTGCATTTCTATTTCTGAAGGTTACATGAATTCCACACCAGAGAAAGTTCCCTGTTCCCAACTAGCTGATGTTCAGGTTAAAAAGTTTTTGTCCATTGAAAGCTCTGGAGCTCTCACTGCCGAGCACAATTTCAGCTGCCCACAGAAACACCAAGAAGTGGGTTTTTTTGGTTTGTTTGGTTCCCCCCGTCCCTGACCGCTCCGAGTACCAGCGCCGAGCTGCTCTTACCTGCCGTGCGCTTGGTCTCCGAGACGCCGAGCAAGAGCAGGAGGAGAACAGTCGCTGGCCCCATGGCAAAGGTCTGTCTCTGAACCAGCCTGGGGACAGGCACATGGAAGAAGGTCACCGCGCTGCCGTCGCACCCAGGACCCGCCGCCCGGCGCACCGGCTCCCGAGGCTCCCCGGAGGCAGGGAGGCTGGCAGGCTGCGCGGCGGGAGCAGTGGGGACGGGGCA